TAAGGAGCATGAGTATGACACCCTGTATGTAATTGCCGCCTGTCCCTGTAAGCCTGTTTCCCTCCCTAAACCTGCTGTGCCAAAAGAACATTTTCCTAGAGTTTCAGGAAGTGCCATCTCTGACCTGTGATGAGAAATGGGGGCAAAATTTAACTTGCCTCAGGACAATACAAGTTATTGCAATCCCTGGAAGGGTATTGCTGAATTATGAGGCACAACCATAATGCCAAGAATTACCTCTGTCTTTCATTCCCCTATGAAATACAGCTTATAAGGTGCTGCAGGAGAATTGTATGGATTATTAGAGTAACATCTTGAATAAACAGAGGCAATCAACTTGGTTTTGGTGCATGGCTGCTCTCACATACACCAGCACTGTGTTGCTGTAATGAAGATGAGTTTGGCTGAGGTTTTGCAAATAGGCAAGAGTCTTCTGCTATTCTCCCTTTGCTTCACACAGGTACACAGCCCTGTACAGCCTCAGGAGCTGCACTGTAACAGGGCAATGGCAAGGGAGGAGGCACAGACACCAGCATGAATGAGAGGGTTCTTCTGGCAGAGGGAGCCTATGGGGCCAGGGGCTAAACCAGCTCAGTGACAATGTTCATCTGAATGCTTAAATGACTACAGAGTTAACTTAAATGAGTGTGCTGGGTTTGGCTGGGATAATTTTCTTCACAGTAGCTGGTACGGGGCTGTGTCTTGGATTTGTGCTGGAAACTGTTGATAACACAGGGATGTTTTTGTTACTGCTGAGCAGTGCTTGCACAGAGTCAAGAGTTGATCTGCTCCTCATACTGTGCACCAGTGAGGAGGCTGGAGGTGCAGAAGAACCTGGGAGTGCACACAGGCAGGAGAGCTGAGCCCAACTGACCCAAGGGATATTCCAGACCATATGGGGTCATGCTCAGCATATAAAGCTGGGGAAGATGGAATGGGGGAATGTTTGGAGTGATGGCATTTGTCTTCCCAAGTAACCATTACATGTGATGGAGCCCTGCTGTCCTGGAGATGGGAAGTGGTGAATGAATTCCTTATGTTGCCTTGGTTGTGTGCATGGCTTTTGCTTTACCTATTAAACTGCCTTTATCTCAACCCACGAGTTTTCTCTTTTACTCTTCTGACTCTCCCCTATCCCACCAGGGGGAGTGTAGTGGCTGTGTGGTGCTTAAGCTACCAGCTAGGCTTAAACCACGACAGTGAGTTAACCTATATGGGTTTAGACCTAAGAAGGGTGTTTTAACATGTTAGAGGTGCCTAATAAACAGTGGTACCAAATTAGCACCTCCAGCCTGTGGGGCAAAAAATGCTTCTGTTTTCAGTCTGAAGCTCCTGGATAGTAACAAGGACAAGAACAGAAGAGAAATGAAAGTTGACTTGAAGGGACCTCTGTTGCTTTAGGTCCAGGGGGGAATTTTGAGCTGTGACCATGGGCTGGGGTTGAAGCTTTTTAATTGCAATGGGAGGGAAACATTTAAATTCTTTTTTTCCTTGTATTTTTTCTTGCTGCAAACCAGCCGGACCTGTTCTGCTCGTATTAGTGTGACAACAGAAATCTGATTGCAACAGAGATAGACAGGAAAAGAAACCTCTTTTCAGAGCAGGGAGGGAACTCACAGCCACTTGGGACAATGGCACTTGTTCTGAAGTTCAGCATCCTCCTGTTGAAACTGGTTTAAACATCTTGCCATCGTGGGCGAGTGTGGGTGTTTGTGAGCCCAGATTTGTCCTGCTTCTATTAATGCCCCTGAGCTTAGCATTAACACACAAAGACACCTTCCTGCTTGGGTCTGTTTACAAAGGCAGAGACTTGCAGTCATATCCTGGACCCTGGGGTGCAGTGTCTCTGTCCACCTCCTGCACCCAGGTGTGGCCAGCGCCTCTACACCAAGCAGTGCTCTGTCCCCTCACATCCATGTCCCGAGGCCTTGCCAGCATCGCATTTGCAGCCTGTGTCTTGGCAGGGCTCCCATCTCTTCTCCCCAGTTCTTTCTGCCTGGGTTCATCCTTTGCTTATCCCTTCCCTGCCATGCACTGGTTTACACCGGACTGCACTAGTTCACCTGCTTGTCCCTTTCCTTCTGGCCTCACCAAAGTAACCTTGCTGTAAACCAGCACTAGAGGTGCTGCTGGCTCATCAGCCCAGGGCAGCTAGGAGCTGGCTCAGGCAATGTTATGGACATGGCATTGAGAAGGAAGCTTTGAAGCTGCACTGTAAACTGCACCAAGTCTTTGTCTGAGGAGGGCTGAATGGAGAGAAGTGCCACCACAAAGACAGGAGTATCCAAATGAGCTGCTACAAAGCAGTGCTGCCACTTTCAAACCCTCCCATTGTGGCCCCAACTTCAATCCCATGTAACTGAACAGCTTGATGATGAATGAGCGTCCCCGTTTGCACAGGGTTGCTGGGCCCCAGTATAGGATAGTAGTGCAGTGAGGGGTGGCTCTGTTGCATCAAGCTGCTGGATTGGACCTCTCAGGTGCTGGGTTGCAGCAATAAGCATAGTCTCTGCATGGTGGTAAAAGAAGAGAAAATGAAAAAAGCACCCTGAGGTTGCCATTCCCCATCACACCCAGCCATGTTTGGGTGCTGAATGATGGACCTGAACGTGAGCAGTTTGTGCACTGGCACCCAAAAAGGCCAACAGCATCCTGACCTGTATCATCAGTAGTGTGGCAGCAGCGCCAGGGCAGCGATCATCCCCCCTGTACTGGGCACTGGTGAAGCTACACCTTGAATCCTGGGTTGAGTTCTGAGCCTCTCACTACAAGAGAGCCACTGAGGTGCTGGAGCGGGGCCAGAGGCCAAAGGAGCTGGTGAAGGAGCACAAGTGTGATGGGGAGCAGCTGAGGGACCTGGGGGCGTTTAGTCTAGAGAAGAGAAGGCTCAGGCGGGACCTGAAGGAGGTTGTAGTGAGGTGGAGTCAGTTTCTTCTCCCAGGTAACAAGTGACAGGACAAGAGGAAACAGCCTCAAGCTGCACCAGGGGAGGTTTAGATTGGATATTAGGAATTTCTTCACATAGAGGGCGATGAGGCATTGGAACAGGCTGGCCAGGGCAGTGGTGGAATCACTGTCCCTGGAAGTGTTCAGAAGCCGTGTAGATGAGGCTCAGCGATGTGGTTTAGTGGTGGCCTTAGCGGTGCTGGGGTGATGCCTGGAAAATTGCACACCTTATTGCTTCTGAAGCAAAAGATGCTGCCCAGGGCTCAGATAATCTAGGAACTACAAACCACCTACCATCCAATCATGAGGTCTCATCCCCACAGAGAGCCTTGGGGGGGGACAGCATCAGCCTGAGAATTTGCTGTTATCCCACCGGAAAGGTTTGGCATGATGAACACTTGAGGCTTGATCCTCCTCCCATGGAGGTACTTATCTGGGGATAAAAACAGAGGCCTACTGCATCCTCACAGCCACATCTCAACTGGTAGCATAACTGGAGCTTCCATCTCTGCTGTTCTCCTCCAGCTTCCTCACCAAAACAAGGTCTGCAGGCATTTACTCTACAGAGCAGGCAATTAGTTAAAACAAACTAACCACTTGAAAGTAGGCAAACCCTCAGCTCCTGTGATAAAAATAAGATTACAGACATATCATTCATTAACTATGCCCAGATTGCAATCTTGGTTACTCTTGCTTAATTGTTTAACCACAATGTTAGCTGTTCCCCAAATATTTGTATATTGGATACCTTGCCTCCAGTGAGGCAGTGAGTTAGAAGCACTTCCATCTTCTCCTGAATGGCAGAATATGCTTTGTCTGAAAGCAAAGAAACTTGATAGAAATACATGGCCAGCTCCATGGAAAATGTAGGAAGAGTCTCTGATGTTTCTCGTTTTACAGTCAGCTTTATCTGTGAGTGATGAGTGAACTGTACACTGGATAAAGCATCTCTACAAGTATCTGTATTAATATGAACAAATCTGTGAAGACAGGAAACCCACAAAAGATGACTTCTATGGAGGAATCAAAACTCCATGTGGGTTTGTGGCAGAATCTGATTTACAGACAGCCCAGTCTGTGTCCCCTTTTCCTGACCCAACTACAGTCCATTCCCTACCTCTGATCTTTGTACAGCAACCACGGCCCCCTCCTGCTCCTGTCTCCTTTATGCTAACAGAATCAAGCATTGAAAGCCCATTTGTTTTGAGGGACAGAAATGTCTTATCTCTGGAAGTGCTCAAACATGAGTTACTGTCCAGTGGGTGTGAGAAGCGCCCTAAACCTCCTCCAGAGAGCAGAGGCAAGGCAGAGGAGACCTGAAGACTCTCATGGGAGCAGATGCAAGTGTCACTGATGTGCAGGCCTTGGGGAAAGAGGAAGATTTGTGGTTGTTAAATTACTTTAAGTTCTGTAAAAGCAAAAGGTATTTACCCAACCACTTCCTTACCTTGCAGCTCCTCATTTACACAGCACACAAGGTGGACCTGCAAGGCTTGTGTGGATTCTCTTGGAGGCACCACCTATGAATCAGACACTTCCCTGTGCTTCGACTGATGGAGAAAAGATCCATCAGAACAACACGCTGTTTTACCCTGCACTAGCACTGAGAACAGAAACTGGCAGAAAATGAAGTTAGGTCTTCTCCCAGCACACGTGCAGAGGAGAGGCTGGACTGCAGGTTCTGGACTGAACTTCCAAAGCCAGTCAAGATCCTGCAGTATCTCACAGGCTGTGGGGTGTCTGTCCTCAGATATCCGGGCTCTGCTGCATTAAGGGAACTCCCTCCACTTGCATGAATAATTTTTGCACAACTCCAGCTGTTGCCCACCACAACCTCGTCCCTCTTCCTCCCCACCAGAAGACACAGAACTACTTACTGATTTCACTGCTCCCCTACCATGAGTGAGTCTAGGGAGTGAGATGGAGAGCACACACAATTCCCACTACTGCCGCCTGCACCACATCTCCCAGACACTGGCATTTAAAAAAAAACAAAAAAAAAAACACAAAAACAAACAAACAAACAAACAAACACCAACAAACTCACACTGAGCTCATTCTGAGGACTCTTTATTGCTTTCACAAGCTTATCTTTCCAGCACTTTCCCAAAAGCTTGTGAAAGACACATATAACCTGTTGATTACACAGCATCTTCAGGAATCAAGTAAATGCATGCTTGAAGGCAAAGTCATGTTCAGTGGCTGCTCCCATCTGAGCGTCCCTAGTCGAACAGTGGTCACAAGAATTGTGGGAAAGCACAAATAATGGGAGCAACAATTTAAATGGCATGATTATGATGGCCTCCTCTGAAATGTAAGCCTAGCTAACTTGTCCATTTGGGCTGGGCTTTCCCTGTTGCAGAAGAGACAGAGGGACTGAAGCTTTTACCATATTGTCCGCTTGACATTTGCCCACGGAGATTTCTTCATTCCCTGAGCTGCTTTCACATCACTCCATTCCAGCTTTATGTCTGGAACCTCATCTTCAGGCTCGGGATCCTCACGGACAGTCCCCTCAGGCAGCGCCACAACGATGGGCAGAGGCCCCTGCTCCTCCCGGAACTCCACTACACAGAGACTCTTCTGGTCCGCTAACTGCTGGTGAGTCTCCTGGGAGCAGGAAAGAGAACAGACAATCAAAGCAATGATATACAATGATAATTTACTTCAGGTCAAACTCTACATGGTATATGGGGTAAGAAACGTTAATTTACTAACAACAGTTTAAAGGGTGTAAATTAAATTACTTGTCAAGCTCATCCTCATGGGTTTCAGATGAGCTAATTGCATAAGCAGCAGGAATTCAGAGAGTGACACTGCAGATATACTAGCATGACAATGCCATCCTAGAGGATGCTTCTGGAAAGGATGCGGCCAGAAAAGGAACATCCTGCTAATATGGATTCACGTTGGCATGTTAGTAACGTACAGGAACGTTATTATGTCTTTATGGATATAAATTTTGCTCTGCCAACAGTAAAGTGCTTATTACTGCCCTAATAGATAATATTAGCTAATGATATGAATTTAACATTATTTTCAACTAAACCTTTTCCTCACACACAAGTTGTTTACAACTCAGAATTAACACTCGGAATAACACTCAGAGTTAACACTCAGAATAACAGTTCACACAATAAATGTCTACAGGGAACAGGAAGCTTTTCCTATCCAGATCAAGTGCTTACCTCAAAGCAATCACAGAATCAACCAGGCTGGAAAAGACCCTTAAAATTATCAAGTCCAACTGTTACCCCAGGTTTGCCAAGGCCATCACTAAGCCACGTCTCTAAGGGCCTCATCTACACATTTTCTGAACACTTCCAGGGATGGTGATTCCACCACTGTCCTGGGAATGCTGTTCCAATGCCTGATCACCCCCTTGGAGAAGAATAATCTATACAGCAGGCCCTTCTTCTATTCTATTCATCCTGTGAAAGACTTCCCAGAAACAACACACTGAAAATATTATATGCCAGACTTCAAGTCAGACTAACCTCAGATACTGATAAGAACGTGCAACTATCTCATTAGGCAAAGAGGATCAAAAACCCTCCCCTCCTGAGGCTAAACTGAAAGAGCTGGCTAGGACAGGGTGACAGATATGATAACTGTAGCTTTGCAGGGCTATATCGGAGTGTAAGCAGCTAAATCCTGGCAGCTACCAAGGCTCTACATCCAAATGAGATAACCAGGAATTTCCAAAGGACTGACTCATCCTAAGGCTGGTGTTCAAAGGAATGCTGAAATGTTGCATATTAGATCTTTCCACCAGCTACAGGCAGCTGGCTCAGAGGGAGACATCTCCATTGTGAGCGCTTTGAGTTAGAGGAAATGATACCACCTCCCTGACTTATTTTAGGGATCTTAATTATACTAGTGATAGAAGCAGCTGTGATGGTTCAGTCCTTAGGCAATGAAAACTTATATTTCAGACAAACAAGCAGCTGCAGGCAAAGCTGGGCCACAAATTCCTCTGCCCATGACTTTTCAAATGTCACCAAAAATACTACAAATGAAAGCCCAGAAATTCAGATATCCCCTGAAGACACTTGGTTGTGGAAAAGGTAGCACTCCGTACAGCTGTTTCTGAGTGGACAACTTCGAACTGAGACAAATCACATGCTGATTTTGTTTGCTCCCTGGAAAATTACTTAATTTTAAATCTACAACATGAACTGTGTGACCACAAACTATTACAGCATCCTGTCCGGTCCCCTGACCTGATGTAAAGAATCACTGAGAGTGCACTCTACCTGTTGAGTCAAGCCTTTAAAGAGCGCTCTGGTAATGTTAATCAAGTTTTTGGATCCAGAAACCTTGGCGTACATGTCTTTAATGCCAATTAGTTTGCAGATGGTGATGATAGCTCGGTGGCAATGAAGACCATACCCTGGGGGGAAAATATAAATTAGCATTATATGATTATCTGTAAGCATTCAACTTGGCTAAGGGAGAAGAGAGAACTAAGATCTCTTCTTAGTTATTTTTGTCTCCCACCACATTAGAACACATTAGATCTTAAAAATGGCAAAACCATTCTGATGACACCATTCTTCCCAGGCTTTGCTGCCATGTCAACATAAAGATCATGGGGTTTTTTGTACTAAATATACCTTACTTAACATAATGCAAAACCAAATGAAAATGTCACCATCTAACTCAAAGCAAAACCATAAATAATGCAACCTGAAGAATTGTTTAGTATGGCAAGTTCGGGTGGCATTCCTTAGAAGTACCATTGGCAGCTTGAGAAGAATCTTCCAAAAACATACCCTCCCACCCTGGGGACATTCACCAAACAAAAAGGCAATTCCCTTTTCCCACTCAGCAGAAAAATAACACTAGTACTTCCTTATGATACTGATAACAACAACACGAATAACGTATTACCAGAGAAGGAAGGTGACAAGTTTACCTAAGAGTATTAGAAGAAAGCCACTAGAAGGGTAGAGGATCCAAACATAACTGAATTTCAACCAAGACTCTCTTTTCTAAAAATGAGTACCTACACAGCTTCAAAACCACTCCCTTTGCAATTTCAGCTGATCAGCTGCTGAATAACAGCTTCAGTAACTCCTAAGCATGGTAAATCATAGAATCATAGAATAGTTAGGGTTGGAAAGGACCTTAAGATCATCAAGTTCCAACCCCCCTGCCATGGGCAGGGCCACCTGACCTTGAAGTCCTGATTCATATACATGATGGAGTGATTTAAACTGGTCTCCTATGGTGAAGTTACTGCTCAAAACAGCTGGTGTGATCAAGCACTTCTGTCCTTTGGACATCCTTTCAGAAGGACCCAGCAGTAGAAGCAATGTCAGTGTCTCTCATTACCAGGCAGACTGCTGTTGGATGAGAGTACTACAGTGCCTTCCTGAAGTCTGCGATTGTGCTTAAGACCTCTATCAGACACAAAAAAGGCAGAGAGAACTGGAGAGGAAAGGAAAACGGAAGTCCAAGTCCATGGGCAATAGTGTTCCAATATAAAAGTCCTATCTAAACACAGAGCTGCTGGGAAAGAGGCAGAGTACCCAGTGGCACGGGTGTCTCTTGTTGCTCACAGGCCTTTTGAGTAGCCAAATAAAACCTACCACATTTTCATTTTATGCAGCTCTTGGTAAGCAAAGCTTTGAGCAGTGGAAGTGGGATGAGGCTGCCTGCAAATCCAGGAAGGCATCATGGCACTGACTCAGACCAAATTCACACTTGGTAGTCTATCTCTCCAAAATGTGAACCTGTTCCTTGCCTTCTGACTAAGCAACAGCAATTCACCAGGCTACACAGTCTATGCAAAACAGAACAGGCTCTAGCCACCAGCCAAGAAAAAGTCATGCTTTTCCCCTTCAGCTTACAAAAGCCAGTAGGATACTGTGCACTGCCAAGAAAGTAAGATGGCACAGATTATCAAGGTACTGTGCTGAGACATCACTTCCTTTCTCCTGGCCCAGCAATTGGCATGAATTAAATTTGCTATTACATCAGTGGCACAGCATGAAGGATGGAATGGAAATAAAGAAGGTAACAGTCTCCTTGGAGCTAAAATTACTGGAAACACAGCAAAACACATTTCTAGGACAAACAATTCTTTTAATCAAGCTTAAAGAGCAAACAATTGTTGCGACACTTATTTGCTTTCAACTTCATTGCTCAAAGTAGCAAGATCATTAAAAAAAAGCCAAATTACAAATTACAAGCCTGTAACTATAACAACTTGAAATTTGGAGGTGAGTGGAGAGGAGAGACATAGTTCAAAATCCACAAACACAACAGAGGTTTGCATATCATCTGCATCCATCTCCACCACAGTGTTGTATTAGCTCCAATGCATAATTGTAATACATTAGCAAATGGTTTCTTAGTCTCGTCAGATTGTAATGGAGTTATATATTGAGGAGTCTAATTTTGCTCTCTTGTACCCGAGAGTTTTGTTTCACCTGGCCTAGCTCTATTATTATCACAAACCTTAAAAACCAGTTTGTGATAGTTCTAATGTATCTTACTTAAAAGCTGAAAAGCAGGTTATTGATTAGTCCACTCTGGGGGACAGTCTTGCTGCTGAGAAAGTAAGGAAAAAACGTCTATTCCAGCGTTGCATGTTTTATTGTGCCAATATGTCTCTTTCTTTTAACCTATAATCAGAAAAGAAACTATAACCATCCAAAGCCATTTGTTCTGTCATTTGTTCTGCCTATCCCTCACATGGGCAATTTAATTTTCGCCTTATGTCTGCACCTGACCACTAGAGGCAAAGTCCCACCTGAAGCAATTCTGAAAAGGAAAGTTCCTTCTCCGGCATACAGAACAACAGCCTTCCCTTTTAGTTACTATAATGGTGAAGGGATAACCACAATGTCTAGAGCATTAACAGTGCTGGGGCCACAATGGTGGATGAGGCTGCCTGGGCCCATACATGGTGAATACAGAATTGTTTTGGTAATGAGCAAGCAGGTGTGGTGGAAGGTGTTCCTGCCCATGGCAGAGGGGCTGGAACTGGATGGTCCCTTCCAACCCAAACCATTCTGTGATTCTGTGATTTCAGAAAATACTGTTTTCTATGCTACAAGACAAAGTCAAGTTTTAGACACAATTACAGTGAATGACCTCTGAAAGGCTGTTTGCCAAAGATTCATTTTCAGCACTTTTTAAGCATTTAATTTCTGGCATTTTTATTGTGCTTTTCTCCCATCTGATCTCAGCCAGGCTTCTGCAGATTGTTAATACGTAAAGCAGAAGCCAGTCCATCAGTCACTGAACAAAATTTATTCTGAACACAAAAGCAAAGGATTCCAACTGCAAACTCCAGATGTGGAGAAAAAGCTGGGGTCAGACATTTTAACTTGTCTGTGGCAGGCATGCTGCCTTACTGCGGTTTAATTCAGTGAGAGCTATGAAAGAGAAATGGCTCATTTAAATGTAAAACATTTTCTTACACTGAAAAAGATACAAAGGTAACCAAAAGTAGTATTTAAAATTTAACCCTCCTATAATCTAACAAACTGTTAAGGAAACCTACATTAGATCTCCTGGGTAGCCACTAACAAGACTTTGGAAGTAAAACACCCACTTTATACCTACACTAAGGGACTAGTAGCTCACATTCACACGCTCACTTGACATTACTTTTTTAGCTTGGATTTTCACTTGTCTAATAAGTAATCCTGACTATATGATGGGGTTGTTCTCCACTTTGCAGGGACTAGGAATAAATTTAAGAAAGGAACATTTAACAGGGACCACCTTTTCTACTGAAACATTAGGCTTTGCTGTGATCATTTGCTGAGGTAGCTGCCTGAGTCCTACATTCAGGAACTGGAAATAAACTGCCAGCTGTAATTATGCAAAGTGAAAGGTTTCAGCATACATAACCATACAGCTGTAATGCCAGGAGTGAACAGAGGGTATGCCTTAAGTCTAAATAGGCCTAATGTGAAAACTACGAATAATTTCAATTGCTTATACCTATTAATTACAGCTACAGGGTATCAGTGCTGGGCTTCACATCCACATAAGTGTATTTGACACTGCTCTGCGTTTCCCCTTATTCATTCACATTAGGAACTAATTTACAGTACTTAGGACTGTATTGATGTGGTTAGCAGAGTAGTCTCATGACTACTGTAATTCTAAAGTCAAATCAGAGATGAAGATTAAGCATTGTCCACACTCTAAAAGGTAGCATATTCTACAGCACAGATGAGCAGCTGGCATGTGCTATAAACAGGAGGGATCTGGAATGGTGGCAGATACGAAGTCCAGGGTCTGCCTAATGTTAAATCTTGTTTTGTAGTATGTTCACAAGTCATTTAATTGTTCTAAAATTACAGCCAGCTCAAGCTGCCACTATGGATCCTCCACTTACAGTACAGCACAAAAGCCTGTCAGAGATTAAGGTAAAATCTGCAAGAGCTCTACCCTTACGAACTCAATTTTGCATAGATACATAAGGTTACAGCTTGCTTTCAAGTCATGACCACATAATGAGGCCTCCCTCACACATGTACAGTTTATCTACAAAACTGTGCACACTAATCTAACATTACACTTCTCAATAAGGCCACTGATGCCTGCTGTCCAGAGCACACTGGAAATAAGCACAATTTTTTCTTGACATCAAACCTGTTTCAGGAAAAGTACAATCCAGTTCCATCAGTTATAGAACAGGGAAAATACTAAACGGAAAAGTGTTTCCCAATTTTTGGAGGATACGTTATTATGTATGGATGTGTTGTCTATGTGTTGTGTACCTGAAAAGGCTGTCCAGATACTCAGATAAAGCGAAGAACTTAGCCAAAACTGCAGCAACAAGCTACCAAGGCTAAGGTGGTAATGTGACAGAACCAAACTTCTGTTCTGACACAGGTCAGCATGATACTCTCACAAATAAGCTAGGGAAACAGAACCAGGCAAAATCATCATTAAAGTTTCCATCGCCCATTTCCAGCAGTCTGCTGTCAGGCCAAGAACTGAACGGGGCAGGGACCTGGTGACATGGGACACAGAAAAGCCTGAGGTACTGGAGGACCCAGGAAACTACAGGCTAATCAGCCTCACCTAGATCCCTGGGAAACTGATGCAATAACTAATCCTCAGAAACCATTTCCAGGCATATGATGTATGAGAAGGTGGTCAGGAGGAACTATGCTTAGGAAGCATGAAAGAAAACCACAAATACTGCTCCCACCAGTGTTAGAGGCACAAGCCCTGATTTACAATAACAAAACCATGTCATCAACAGTAGGTATTTCTAATGAAAAACAACTGATCATCTCTTAGCATTTAACACATGGTAAACTAGCACCAAATGCTCCATTTCTGAATGGATAATTTCTGAAGGAAATGGACACATTTCTGAAGTGAACAGGCATTGCACAAAGTAACTTCATCAAATAAATACCAGTCAATAATTCATAAAACTTCAAAATTTCCAGGCAGCTTTAATTACCTTTGTTCTGCTTCTTCATGCGGATGGTTGTTCTTTTAAATTTCACTGTAATGTCATGGTAAACTGGAGGGGAGAAAAAAACCAAAGAAGAAGCATTACAGCTAAATTCTTCCTTCTAGAAAAGCTTTACCTCAGCACATTTAAGGAGAACCTTTCTTTTCCAGAACTGTGAACGGGAAGTTGGTTTTACTCTCCTCAGAGTTCTTTAATAATAATGACTAATAGAGGTAAATTTCTGGCATAGACCAGGAATGTTTACACATCTGTGAATACTGTGTTACTATTGTATACAAAACCAAGCTTCACATGAAAAATGTGAAGGGTGTGTTTATCTCCAATAATCCTTATCTAGCTTTGAAGCGAGCTCACGTGATATAATTTAGTCTTCTTCCACATACTCAAATTTTTCTAATAATTCAGCTTTCAACCTAAGATTTCACCAAAGGCTTCAGCATTCTTGGATTTTCCGTAAGAATATTTACCATTTTTGTCTTCCTGCTTCTCTCTGCTTCAAAATGAAGACCAAACTCGTATCTTCTGGTGGGGGGCTGTTATATACATCTCATTTAGTGGTTCAGCTTTTGCATAGTGGGTTCTAGCACTGCAGTCAAGATGGCTCATAGAGGACCTCTGTGTTAAGTAGAATGTAAAGCATGGTGGAAATGCCACCAGTTTTTAATCAGATCCCTAAACTGTGCAATAATAATGCTCAAGGAATAGATGTGTGAAGGTAACTGTAGTTTTGTATTTGTAAGCTGGTTTTATTACACTGAGTATTCACTACACAATGACTTGGTTATTCATATACTCTGTAATCTTTCAGGTTTTTTTATAACTGAATATTCGGTATTCTGGTGCCATGTCTGACATCAGAGAGGACTTGTGTGATATTAAACTGAATTAACGAAGAGCAACCATGAAATATCAGACTGACTTCTCCATCCCACATTCTCCCTGGCTTTGTGCTGGGCTTTGTCAGCAAAGCCCACTGACATGGATTGACTCAACAGGGAATCATCTCTGACATACAAAGGGGAAAAGCACAGAGGAGTTAACCATAGAGAAGAGATAAACCACATAGTCATTCCAGTTAATGGCAATTTATTTTATACAGGGATTGACAAACTATGTACTCTGATATGACCACCATCTAGCTAAAAGAGTGTGGAGCTGAGATTTCACACAGCATGCTGAAGAAGCAAAATAATGCATGAATAATACAATGCATCAGATCAGACAGGGTTTAGTTAGCATCTTTTTATGCTTTGTAACAAGTTGCAGTCAGTTCTTGTTGGCATATTCAGTACTTATTTAGAGTCTAAGAAAATCATACTACTTACTAGTGTGGTCCTGATACCGCTCTATAAAATGTAAGCCACGTATTGCTTTATTCTTTGCCTAGGGAATAAAAGCAGAAATTTTATTTTTTTTCCTTGATTTTTTTTCTGCAAAGGACTGGAAATTTACCACTGTTCACTTAACTAGACAAAAAAAAAAGGCGAGGAAGAAATCTTTTGAAACAGGATGGCTACATCTAATACATTTATTTTATGAAAATTAAAATGTTCTCTGTAAAGAACTGCTTTCTCCAACCAGATTTCATGTTAGTTGAAAATTCTCAGTACAGTAACAACTTTATCAAACTTTGTGTATTTTAGCATTGCTACACTGATAGCTTAGTTGAGCACTAGACAACTAACATTTAGAAGTCTAAAGGAGCCTTTAATACGGTCATTACACGTGTAAGAGAATTTTTCTACACACTAACTGTATAAACAGATTGTATGTCATATAGTATGGGAAACAAGTGACCATGGGAGTATAGGTATATGCCATAGAAAAGGGAGCAGAAATAAGAGTGCATTAGGAAAATCTCATTGCAAAGCAACCTCATTATGTGTGTCCAAAGAGCAATGAAACTGGTGAAGGATCCGGAGCACAAGTCTTATAAGGAACAGCTAAGGGAACTGGGGTTGTTTAGTCTGGAGAAAAGGAGACTTAGGTGAGAACTTATCACCCTGTACAACTACTGAGGTTGCAATGAGGTGGGTGTTGGTCTCTCTTCCCAATTAGCAAGTGATGAGAAGAAACAGCCTCAAGTTGTGCCGGAGTAGATTTAGACTGGATATTGGGAAAAATTTCTTCACTGAAAAGGTTATCAAGCATTGGAACAGGCTGTCCAGGGCAGTGGTTGAGTCACCAACCCTGAAGGTATTTAAAGGCATGGTGCTTAGGGACATGGTTTAGTGGTAGAGTTGGCAGTGTTAGGTTTATGGTTGGACTCCCAAACCTTAAAGGTCTTTTCCAACCTAATGGCTCTATGATTACTTGTATCAAGGCCAACGAACCATGTATACAGACTTACTTATTTGCATATACTACAGAAGATATTGACCATAAAGAAAAAAGTGCAGGTATGAATTATACGTGCTTGTCATCAAGCACCAAGTAATCCAATCAACATACTTTCCGTAAAGCATTCATCCTGTCACCTGCTTTCCCCAGTGCAAAACCTGCAAGAAAGAAAAGAGTCACTTTATTACTGAGAAATAGCTGAGGCAGGACCTTCATAAAGCAAAGGGAAAGAACAGAATTTCACAACCACATTTAGTATCTGTTACTTCCATGCCACTGCACAGATCATACTCAGAAAATGGTTCACAGAAAACCACAGAAACCAGTAGAAAGTAACAGTTTAGGAGTTATGAATACCTAATAATTGGATGCCAATTGCTTGTCAAGTGAAACAAATACACTTTATTATTTCTTTTGCATATTTGTCCAAACTTGTACCAAATGACTTAATAATGGTGACTGTTTCAGCCAAAAACAGTCCAGCCTTCTGCTTGAAAAGAAAGAAGGGAATGAAGAAAATCTGATGCAGATAAGAGCTCCAAGACCCTAAAAGCAATGCAGACTGGGTTTCTAGTTGTGAAGCAGAGTATCAAACCCAGGTTGTACAGAACAGTGCATCTGCAAAAAAATGCATGCCTGCAGAACAGAGCACAGGGTCTGTTTTGACTGTCAGTTTGCAAACTGCTACCTAATCTCTCTGAACCCTCAGACCTACTCCTATTTACCACGTCAGCTATGGTAGTGACAAAGAGATTTCACAGCAGTCTCAAGAGTATCTGCAGTCAGCTCAGAGCAGCGCCATCAACTGTATGGAATGAGTAAGAGGATGTGACAACCATTTTCACTAACTAGTCCAACAATGTCAAGGTAGATTGAATGAAAATCATTTCATTTCAAATCTGCAGATCTACCTTCTTTGGTCTTTTGATACAAAACATAGCATCCAAATGAATACATACATAGTCTGATCGTAAATCTTACTTTTACAGATGAAACTCAAAACTCACAGATATTCAATGCTGCGCAGGAGAAAAAAGTTTTTTTTTGTTTTCTTTTGTTAAGTATTAGAAGTCCATTTAAGTCACCTTGCCTCCCAAATTCCTACAACAAACAGTGATTAACTTGGCATCTTTTACATACAGTAGATAAACATACCTGCAGCTCCTTTACCATTTCCAACAGCCACCAAGGCACGTATTGATTTTTTTCTGCCTTCCTTTGCATTCATACAAAACACATTTCTCACCTGAAAAAAAACAACAAACCACAAAGCATTCTGTGATGGCACAGTCCAATTCTTTCTGTTTGTTTGTTTGTAAAGAGATTCAGTTTACCAAAAAGTAATTAGAGGTCTGTGATGAAACCATACAATATAGTCATCTGCAAGTGGCACACTGGCTTCAAGGCATTAAATATGTAAAGGCTGCTAGAAGTCTATACTCAAACAAAGAAGTTAGCTCAATAAAGTTTCATTTAAATATCCTCTTCTGTATTTAGCTGCACAACAGATAATGGCTCTACTGCTGCCAGCTTCACATGTGATTTCAACTGTGATGAAAAAACATGGAAAAAAAATGGAAGTGACATTAATATCTCACTGCCCCCCTCACATTTTAACATATTTTAGAAGCACTCAGAGCTATTATTCAGGGCATGCTGTTGCTTAACATGAGTTATAACTTAGCACTGAAATCTACTTGCAGACTGCAGAAGGCAGTCTCATTACTGAGATGACAGCTGCTAAAAAGACTTCATTTAAGAATGCAGAAGAAATGTTATTCCATGCCTGGAACTAGAAATGTTTTCAGAAACTCTGCAAGAAATTCAAGCAGAGATGCAAGAAAGCTCTTTAGTTTGGAGTGGAGGGACACAACAACTGTGGAGATAGATGGCCTTATGGTTAGCATTCTGGAAATCTAAATTTGCTTCCGCCTCTGCTACAGACTCCCCATATGCGACTAGAGGCAAATCACTGCATTATAGTCTCCCACCTCGAATGACCGAGTATGTCACCCATGATCCTGTTCAACTGGCTCCTGTTCTAGTGTCCTTGGCTTTGTTTATGTATTTAAATAAATTCTTTACTTAAATACAGATACATACTTTCATATGTAGATTATATACTGTATATAATAAACTATACATTTATCACATATAATGTAATATACATAGTATACAAAAAATACATACACATATAAAATAACATACTGGATATTGCTTGACTGTGTCTCAGGATTACCAGTCACAAGATAAAACTTACTTAATGGTTCACTTCTTTCTCTCAGATGCATCAGGGCCTACTTTCTTGAAGCCTCAATATGATTTCCATAATTTATCACAACAGCTAAATTAAACATGCATTAGTGATACATGAATTAAGCAGTGTGCCCCCCTTTGCCCTATATGTAATTCTTCAGTAAGATAGTCTAGTTGTACTGTTATATCCCAAAGCAGGTTATTATACAATACTTGGTCATGGCTTAAACATGCTTCCTGAAATTCATACACCACCCGCCACCCAAACACCCCCTCCCACCCCCAAAAATTCCACTGACACCACAAGGTACAGGTTAGGAATGAGTACTTCTGAAAAAATCCACCCTGCTTTCATTAGAATAAAGATGCTGTTAAATTCAAGGTGCACATATATTCTGGAGAGCACTCTGAAGAAAGATCATCTTTGCTAATGGCTTATTCTGAGCTATTTTTATTTCTGCAATCTTACTGCTTACAAGCACAAGCTAAAAAAACAAGCCCCCTAAGATGAAAGTGCCTGTGGAAATAGGCTATTTACAGAAAATGCAAAATGATTATGAAAGAAGAGCGAAGCAGAGTGATCTCCCCAGGAGCATCAAGAGCATACTCTTTTTGCTTTGCACATACTTTTTGTCTTCCACTGCCAATCTGAATAAGTACTTGTAAAAACCCCAAAGTTGGCATGCATATTGTCAAAATTAAAGGACATGATGCTTGCAGGAATATACTCAAGAATTATTTTTCTCCCTTTCCAGAAGATGGCAATAAAGACACATGCAATGATTTCTCCAGAAGGCTTCCTAAAACTGCACTTGTCAGCTGTTTCTGAGCAGCTCTGAAGGAAAATGTGTTCAGTCACTCATCACAATCAGTGCTACTGCATCTCTCCTGAAACACTGTGAAGGCCTTTCAAGCTTGATCATGTACACAGACAGCTATGACTACTGAACAACATTGTCCTTAGATTCTCCCTGCAACAGCCCCATGCCTCCTCACATCAAATAAGCAATGCTCTTCTGGATGCTCAGCAATGCTTCCCTTCCATCTTGAAAATAAAGCATGCAGCTAAAAGCCTATCATTAAACTGAACTGGCATTAATTAATAGACAATGAAACAGCGTGACACTTTAAAAACAGCATGGCCTCTGAAAAGTGACTGAAACTAAGACACAATTACCCTATTTACTAGATTGCCACTCAAAGCTGGATTTAACAATTCTTTAAATTTGAAAACAGATGCATGCTCAAGCTTAATCACAGCGTACCTCAAACTGACTGTCACCCTGCATCCATTATCCAGTGGTCAGAATGCAAATTCACCTAGATCTCTCCTTTGTTCTCCCTTTGGTACCTGCCCCAGACATCCCATACATCTTGTATGATACTGAAATGCTCTCCCCCTGCATCCTGAAAATGTGTCCTATACTCCTCAGCAGTAACCTCCCCCACAGTCTGCATCATGCTCTGGAAAACCTCATCTTAACAGGTGTGACCCCTGGACCACTGGGCTAAGGCTACTCGAGTGCAGTCTAGGGAGAAGCCAAACGGTGCCTGTTTCTCTCAGTCTGTAATTTTGGTTCTCTGCCTGCCTCTGTGCTCCTCTGGCCTGTGCAGATGAGCCATCAATGCAGTTACAGCTCTCCTGTGATGGTCTTGGGAGGACTGCTGGAAGGGTGTTACTTGGGTTCCTCTACCTGCTATTGCCCCTGCACTCCTCTGTGTGTGTAGGCAGAGAGGTCTTTCATCACATAACCTAACAGTCAGTACTCTCTCCATCTTGGTCGTAAGTAGAATGATTTTCTCTCGAGGAATTTGATTCAGTAGCTGTAACCTTTGAGAAGCAGAAAGGTTAGAACCAGCCATCCTGCTCACAGTACGTTCACTCCCCAGGTACTCAAGGCAGTGGAGAAACTGCAATACAGAAAATAATTTGAACTCCTCTACCCCTCACTCATCAAAACAGATGAAAGTTTTTGACCAGGCACTTGAAGTGTTCTTCATACAGGTTGAGTCATCACAGATCTGGGATAAACCCCAAGTGCAGTTCTCATCCAAATTAATGAGCCCTATCTGCAGAGAACTACTGACTAAACTATAGTTAGTGGTGACAGTTTTCTGTCACATGTGTGAAACTCTCTCTTTTATAACTCATTCGGAAAAATAAGATAGCTCATATGCCCTACTGACACAGCGTGTTGTCTAATGTGGCTTCATACTGCAGATCACATCTCAGTACAGATCCTTTGGATTACCCCACAGTAATGCATGCTCAAAGCCACACTACATCAGAAGTGGCTTTGTTTCCTTTTCAAAGGATAATCCATCATCACGCCAAATCACTTAAAAGCTTCTGAATGTTCCAAATGCCAAATTTATTAAAGCCTGAGAGGTAAAAAGAGATTAAAGATTTAATTATTTAATCAACAGAACCAGTGTAAGGTGGCATCCCCAAATGCTCCTCCAGAGGCAGGCCAAAATACTTGAGAAGTCCAAGAACATCAGAAATGAATTCTTGTACACAGCTCTGACCTCTCGTTCTTTCCTCTAACAGGTGGCTTCAGATGCTATCTCAGAAACTGTCTGAAATCGTCATTGTCAGTCTAAAGACACTGTCAGTATCATCCAGGGAACAGAAAACTTTCTGTAGTTTTAAAAGCAAAACCTAGAGCTCCAATACCCCAAGAGTACTTTTGAGCCAATATCTCACTTGAAATAAATTATTACTCAGACAGTATCCTGTCTACCACATAATTTTTCAGTCAAAGATGTCAAACAATGGATCTCAGACACTGTAATTTCATGCATCATTTCCTTTTCACAAGCCTTTTTTAATGCACCCTTTGCAAAAACAACAGCTAGAAAACTATTTCCAATGACTCACAAAAAGAAACGAAGGGTTTAGACCACATATTAAGGACTATTCTTTTTGTTACAAGTAACAAATCTACCAAGATTAATTTTGTGGTCTTAAAACAAATATGTTCTTGTGGGGTTTTTACTACTTCATGGAAAATCGAAACTGTGGTCTTATACTCCCTATGGACAATCCCCTGCTGCAGCCAGACAGTTTATTTTTGTCTAGTACATGCAGAACAAATGACTACAGAGCGATAGTTTGTAACTCTCTTCTGTGTTCATATTCCCTACAGTTGCATACATTTCTGTGGCGAGACATTTAGGAATACTTAAGAGAGGTTCTTCATATCATTTTGACCCAACAAACCTATGTTTTTTTATCTCTGCTTTCCACATGCCAACACAGAGCTACTGTTTCTAAGGCAAGTTAATGCTCCTGCTCAGATTTTGGCTAACACGCAGCTTATACTAAGGCCTGATGTATGCCAGGAGCAGCTCCATGAGGTCAAAGGGAAAGCAACACACAGACAAATATCATGTGGAAGAAGGGCAAAAAGTCAGTATGCAGCCACTGCCACCTGCAGCTTACCATCCTCTGCAGTGATCATCCCTGCACGCTGATTGCCAGGCAGCCAAATTCAGAATGCCCTAGCTCATGGCAGTTATACAGACCAAACTGCCAAGCTGGAAGGTACAAATATGTGGGCTTACCCAAAAAGATTTTGAAATGGATCTCACAGCAGTGGGCTGCTGAGGTTTTCATGCTTCCCCTGTGATACAGGGAAGCATTGTGACAAAGAAACAAAGATAAGAACTCTTGCTGTTTGGCAACTATTTCACTCACAGCTGCGCAAGTTACAAATTAGAGAACCGGAAACAAATTAATTCACACGTTAGACTAGTCAGTACAAAGGAGATTAAGCACTTGTATGACATGTTTGCTCTCCTTCCTAGTAAGCTCATAAAATAAAGTTTCATTTCCGGAGTATGCTCCCCTTCATGAAACATTCAAAAGGGCCACTTTCAGCCCTTACTGATCTCATTTTCCAATTCTGATTGCACTACAAGGCAAGTAGTATTATAACTCAGGGTATCATGAAGCTACTTTTTTTTCACTATATTACCATGTTCACTTTGAAGAAAAACAGAATAAAAATTTATCTGAGGATGGATGCTGGAAAGCATCATTTTGTTTAAAAATGGCATATATCAATTACATCTGTAAATTTTAATTGCCACTATTATTACATTGTGTTGAACGTAAACAAGGTAGTAAATACTACCTCCAGTTTTATTCACAGAAATTCTTATATGTAATGCATGAACAAACAGGAAATGTGCCTTCAGGCGCATTCAACCTTCAACCTGAAATGTGACTTCAAGCTGGCAAGGAAAGAAACAAACAGGTAGCCCAAGTCATCTACTCGAAGTAACAGTCTGTAGGAAAGCCAGAAACAAACCCAATATGCAATCCCTGCTGTCGTTCCTTAACACTCTCTCTCGCTAGCTTTATCTCTCTGACAACTTTCAGCTCTAATTTACATGAAAATCTGACCTTGTTTTTACTCTATCCTACAAGCAGGGGAAAATCAAGTTTGCTTTTCTGTTTCTACACTATTAGAAAACACTTTATTAAACAAGTTCTCACTTATAGCAAGGGAGCACAGTTTTTTTAGTAGCACAGCCACGTCAGAAAGGGGCTTTTGTATCTTTGTCCATAAAACAGTAATTTAAAAGTGGCTTTCAGTTTCTTGCTGCAAAGTATAATTCCCCAACAAACATTACTTTAATCTCCTGTAGTGTTGTAAAGATAAAGGTAATGGAAAAGGCATACAGAAATAGCATCATGTATGCCGTCTATTTAAAATAAGAATGCTAAAAAAGATCTGTTTATTTCAAAACTCATACTTATCAGAAAATTACAAGACTCAGTAATCTTGGGCTCACTACTGGCTTTGAATATACAACTTTTTGCTGCTGCTGCTATTCTGAAAAAAAGAACAACAAAATAAACCAAAAAACAACAACCCATTCCTCTTTCTCAGTTCACACTTGAGAACCTCATATAACAGTAGAGTCTCAGCCTGCTTGTAAAAGCTGTTTTATTACTCAGATACAATAAAACATTGAAACAATTTTTATAGCACAAGGAAGTACTGCACAGCATTTTGTTGTTTAATGAATTTGACTGCAAATAATTGCACCAGCACAAAATGGCCAGCTTTAGTAAATACCTACCATAGTATCCAACTGCCAGTCAGTTGTGACATGTCACAGTAACAAAACAACAGCCACTTTTCTGCAATGCGCCCTTTCAATCAACTGAACGCACTTCCAACTGCTATTTGAAGGACCTTTAACAATATGTGTGGGTTTTCCAAACCTCACAAGAATCTACTGTGTGTACAGGTACTCCTGATCTAAGAGGAAATAAAACCACCTGTGTCGTTTTAAACCTGAGAATAATAGATTAATTTTGTGTGTTAAAATAAGAATGCATGAAAAGTGTATGGTGCACTTCAGGACATCTCATTAATGCTCACATAAATGCTCATTTTTATCGCATTCATCATTCCAAATATAATCCCTAAAATAGTACTCAATAGGAATTTGGTATATAAAAGGGATCATCTAATCCACTTGGATATGATCAGAAGATCACCATTTTTTTTTTCCAATAATGCCATCCTATAAAGGCTGTTTCAGAGAAGCCTGGACATATGCACATCAGCATATGCAATAAATGACAGAAGCATACTTCCCATTTACTATTGAAAGAAACCACTTGTGGCATTAAGTGCAAGTTTGCTACTCATTTTATTTCCTGTCTTCTCTAGGCACCAATGACAAATCTGACAATAATATATTAGAGATACTTGAGAAAACAGGAAAAATCTTGATACTGAACTCATTTGTATAGGTTTATATTCATGTCTGTTTAGATATACATGTCATATATGAACTGTCAGTGAAGGTCAGATCCTTTGATAAATGTTATCTTAAGACTTAGACTGAATGCACTCGCTAATGGAAAAGATATACACCTCACTCAAGTAACTTTGTTCTTTTGCATACCAACACGACTTTACACATTTTGTACAAGATTCTGAAAAGTTGAGCTTAAATAGCCATTTGGTATTAACATAGAGAGTCATCACAGTCAAGATAACAGAAGGGACCCTACAACCACCCATCTTAGTCCAGGTGCTGGAATGCTAAAAAATTAAAAATTAAAAAATTTTGATGACAAAAAAGTTTAAAGACAATTGAGGTTTGGCAAGAAAATCAGTACTTGGCATTTATAGCTTATTTAGAGATACGGAGTGTAGGACAAAGTTGCTCTCAGAGAGATTAAAAGTCTGAATGAGATTTTAGTATGACCACAATGCAAGATCTTCATACTGAGTAACTGTTTTCAAGCATGGCTTACGAATTAAAATCCAGTTTGTCAAACAAAGGATTTTAAAAGGATTTACATGAAGGAAAATCAGTTCTTGTAATAGTATATGACAGTGCATAGAGGACAGAGAGCGTGATCCTCGCCAAAAAAGGCATCACTTTGGTAGTAGGACACAAAGTGATATACACTGTGAGTGAAACTAAACAGAAACTCAAAACACAGATAGATTCCCTTGGAACAAACACCTCACATAGACACAGGTACAACATAATATTGGCTAAAAGTACAGGTAAGGTTTCACAGATGTGTTTGGTAAGTGAAGCTGTAGTAATGAGTAAAGTGATGAACAGTCATCTCTATGCATATAAAACTATGTAACAACTCATCAGACAGACAATTTCATAGTGATAAAAGCCTGTCAATGCTCATATTAAGCAAAGACACATGATGTGCATCTATCACAGAATGTATATTGATTCAGGTTAAGACCTTGGCTCTCAGATGATAATTAGAAATGAGAGGTGTCTCTTTCTCCAAGCAGCAGCTAGACTAGTATAGTTTTTCAATAATAAAGCAGTTAAATATTAATTGCAAATGAAGGTTCTGATAACAATCCTGAAAGGAACATAAATTAAACAGGCAATTTCAGCTGTAGGTAAGGAAACAACAGGAGAATGTTCTAAAGTGACAAGTTTACACAATTAGTCATAGCCAACATGGGTTCACAAGGGGAAAAGTCATCTTTAACTAACTTAATTTCCTTTTATGATAAGGTCACCCATCTAGTTGACCAAGGGAAGCCAACAGATGTGGGGTTTTGTTTGATTTTAGCAAAGCTTCTGAAATTGTCTCTCCCAGTATCTATATGGACAAGATGTCCAGCATACAGCTAGACATGTCTATAAATTGGGTTAACAACTAGCTGGTAAGTAACTGGCTCAAAGGGTTACAGTAAATGGGGTTACATCAGGCTGCCAGCCTATCACCAGTGGGTTCAGTTTTAGAGCTAGCACTCTAGTATGTGGATGCAGGATTGGAATGCGCATTAGGAAAATTTGCCATTGATGCTAAATTAGGAGGAACTGTGGACTTCCTCATAGGTAGAGTGACCTTATAGTGAGATATGGATATAGAGCTGGACCACAATTGATCATATGAAATTTAACAGTATCTCCCAGAAGATAGAATAAGTTAAAACATCTAGGACAAGTGAGTTTTATTACTTGAGAGGCACACAAAATGGGATCTCCATTCTAATTACTCTCTGCCCTGTGCAACTGCTCCCCCCCTCTTTAATTCTTTGTTCTACAGGCAGAGTTATATAACTTCCTAACTGTAGTTTTGACTGAGAAATAACCCTACCTCTTTACTGTGGTAATGTTTTCCCTCTTATGGTTGTTTGTGAACCATTAAAGCTTTATTTACAGACATTTGCCATTTCAGAGATACTCAAAACCACCTTTTAATTATATATCATTTGCTCAACAAAGAAGATAAGGCTCCAGTGAAAAGAATGACCATTGATACAAAATACCAGACTAATTCCTATTGCTGTAAGATAGACTTGGCAAAGGCTACTTAAATAACTGCAAGCTCAATATAAAATAGTGACAATTATCTGAAGTCCTTAAAAAGATTTGTAATGCTTACCTCAATGACTCTTGTTTCAAAATCTTCGTAAGTTTCTGTTGGGAGAAAAATAGGGCATTACATTTGCTTGTGTTACTTATCTAACAGCACAGCTCTCTGCAGGTGGTATAATTTAAAAAGGACACAATTTTTATGTAACTGTAATTTATAAATTAATCTCAGCAGCAAGTAGAAAAGGTGATAATAATTTGAACAAACGTATCTAAAGTGAGCTTTATTAGTTGCTTCCGTTTAAAAAGACCTCAAATACGTTTTTTTACTTGACATCATTCACTCAATCATTCAATCTTTTAGAATAAGGCCAGTGAAAAGCAGCATATAGCTCATATTTATAAAACATAGGTTTGGGTTTTATTAATCTCTTCAGTAAAATCCACTTATGTAAAGAAAACTAGTTAAAAAAATCCAGTTAAATGGTAACTTCTCAGAAGTTTAATACCACTTGTTATTACAATACAGCTTGTTATAATTAAGAGATAACAACTGCTAAATGCATTCATTGTGCTCCATTAGGGACCCCAACCTCCAACTGCAATCAGTATCTGATGTTTTTAAGTACCACACATGCAGAGAATTAAGATGGAAACAGTCTCCAAGGACTGTCCCATCTAAATAACCAGAGAAGCACACAGGAAGAAAAATAATCACTTTTTAAATGGTAGAGCAAGACATACAAATTTAACTGCTTCCTCTGAACACCACAAAGAAAACAAAGCTGACAAAAAACTGAGACATCCTCAGAATCTGTTGAGCATTTTTATCAGAAGCTAAGCTATACATCCTTCTTTTGGAAATCACTGCAACTCACCACTTACACTGAAGCATTTTTGTTATATTATATCTGATATTCTTCCTCATTCTTTACAGCTGCAGAAATGCTTTGAAAAATAACCATCCACAGCATGTTACGAAAACAATGTTTTGGGTTTTCACTGGCTGGTAGAGTAAACTGCCTTCCTTCCCAAAATACTGCTCTAAAACTGCAAATGAACCCCAAATTTCATACCCACCGAGCAAAGGCTGTAAATGGTTAAAAAGAAAAAAGTAAATCACCAAATGGGTCACTTCCATAATGACCTAAGTATTATCCAATATTATTCAGAATATTCTGAAACTTGTATCAGCAGACAATCAGCAGGGATTAAAAGAAATAGCAAGCATTTCTTAATACATATTTCTGTGAAGTACCAAGAAGGGGAGGATAATATAAAACAATATACAGCCACTTCAAATAGTCATGTATCACATAGCCAGACCTTTTTTCCTCCCTTTCAATTTCAAATTCTGCCTGAAAAAAATGTCTTTGCAATCAAAGACAATTACAGCACCATTTATTTTGTCTAGTAATAATTAAGGCATTTTGTACTGTAAAATAAAGATCACTTCTATGTCACATCTATGTTCAAGTCTTTTCATCACAGTGCTAATGAAACACCAAACGCAGAGTTCAGGTGTACATTATATATTCAGCCCTAAGTGGTAAACTTTCCACTGCACTGAAAGTTACTAAGTTTCTGCTCTGTCATTAGAAGAAACTTTAAATTAAGATGTTTTTGAAATGTCCTACAACCTTGCAGGGAGAAGAATGGGAGAAGAGCAAGAATACTGGAGAGCTGTGGGAATGACGTGTACTGCCTTCAAAGGCAGTAAGTCAAACAGGAGAGCACAAAACCGTGCACTGCGGTCCACTCAGATCCTCTCCGTAGGCCTTCACCCTGACACATACTGTAAGAATTGTCAGCAAGCAAATCCCTTAGGCTTGGCTTTCAGCAGTTCCATCAGCATTTCTCAAACTCCATTTTAGAGAAGCAGGAAAAAAGGCTGCATATCACGGATACTGCCAAAAAGATCCCATCTTCTCTGAGTTTCTGTTTCAAAACCTGATGACCACACAAACACCTGAATATAAATTGAAAATATATTTGTTTCCTTTCATGCAATTGAGAGCATACTTATATTTGATCTGTATTTTAACATAGATGCATTTTCCAAAAGGAGTATCCTATTATCAACTTCGTTGTGGGAAAAATTAGTGACTTTGAAAGCAACAAAGTAAAATGCAACATCTTGGTATAAGAAGCAGAACAGACAAGAGACCCTTCCAACCTCCCGCTTTTCCAATTTATCTCATGAACAAGAGCATTTCAGTGGAACACAGGAGACCAGTGTTAATTAAAACAGATAATACTTATTTGGTGTAGCTACAGTGAGATTTTGGATAAAAGCTGAAAACAGTAAAATGGTGAAGAACGATAAAGAACTGGAGACTCACTCCTTCACCAACACTGCTTTATCATTTATGCATAACCTCCAAGGCAATTATAAACACAATCCCCAAGACAATTATAAACACAATCATTCCTGCGTAATTTAGAGATCTGTTAATCTACAAGAAGCAGAGTTCTAGCTCACAGCATACGAATATCAGCAGGTACCCTGTTTCCTCTCTGAAGCCTCTTCAGTTGCAAAGACATACTGTAAACTTGAAAGAAAATTGATTTTCTTTCCAACAGAACAATACTGTTCTATCTCTGCTCCTAGTTAGCACAATAATTAGAGGTGCAATGGAGGAAGATTCCTCTGAAAGAATGAAGCATATATAATCACAGTATGTCCCCAGTTATCTCTTTCTTTTTAACATACTGGTCAATTTCAACCAAATTTGTCAGATGTTGAAGGCTAACAACACTGAGGTTTCTACAAGCTTCTTGGACCTGTTTTCACTGGAAAATATGAATGCTGCTGAAGGGAAGCTGCAGCTTATGCTCAACCTCCGATTGTATTAGAGATTCTAGTATCAGAATACTACGAAGGGCTGAACTGCAGAATCTCAGAACTCATTCTTGCTTAGACAACAGAGAATCCATGCCATAGTCTCAGGCCAAAAGGATTCATTTGGTTTATTCCTCCTAACACCTTCACAGTGTCAATGTCCCAAATCCCCTGCAAAATCATTAATTATCTGAATAAAAAGATGCAGAAAGAACTACAGGGAGCAGAAAATCCTCAAAATTTGTAGCAGATTAAAAGGAAATCAGTGCATATTGATCAGAAACTGCTTTTTTCTCAAGCAAATTTATAATATAAATTGACAAGCTTGATTTGCCTATTTTGACTGTACTACCCTTTCCTCTTTTTGGCACAACTTTACTACAGCTTCCACACAGCCAACTTTAATGCAAGCAATCAACACCAATAGTATCAGCCAAAAGCAAAATCAATAAAAACACCGGAAGATAAAATTCTAATGTGCATAAATGGTGTTTGCAACAGCTGCCACTTCTTTTAGTGGAATAAACTACTTGAAAATAGATTTAAATTTTAAAACAACACAGTCTTGTGTTCAAAGCATGAAACTAGAAATATAAAGTTTTCTCAACTTTCTATATATTCCACCACTGAATTATGGGGAATTTGGAACAATTCATTAATTTCTCAAATCACCTATTTTTCAGTTGTAAGATTCTGTGACAGTTGTCAAGTCCATTGTTACGTCACTGCCTTCCGTGGAATATTTGCTGTCAAGGTAATAAAATGAAACACGGGGAAGTAATTATAGGAAACCTTTCATTTGTATACTAAAGCACTACGCTGATATTAAAATAGAATTAACTGCTCTTAAAACTGAAGACAATTAAATATTTGAACAGATTGGCAGGCAAACTCTCCTTAAATGCACAAGGTAAACCTGAGGGAAACCATGTATCTCAGGCACTACAGCGACACAAGCCACAAAAACATCTGTACCAGCTACAGGAATGGAAAACCTGAGAAGGGAACAAAGAAGTAGTAGATAATAATAATGGCATTAGCTTATAAAGCATAAAGGACAAAAGCAATAGATCGCACTGGAAAGACAATGCTCTCACTACCTTATGGCTCAGTTCAAAGCATGGCTGAATTTTTAGTTAATGTCCAATAGAACGTAACCAGGTAATATTCACAGACAGAAAAGAAATTAACACACAGCATCAGGCAGATTGGGGCACAAAGGTGACTGCAAGATGAGACAACAATATAATTCTGATTATATGCAGGTAAGTTCCCATTTATATTGACTTGTTTCAACATATGTTCCAAGATCTAAGCTTACACTGGGAGAACATATTCCTAGGCAAAAATAGCTCCAAAAATATGAACAAGCTTAACACTCACAATGACTGCAACAACCCTGAAACAACAGCGCTAGGAAAAAAAATAAAAATCAACTGTCTTAGGTCATCTTACTAGAAAAGCCTAAAGAAAGGCAACAATAAACATAAAAGCATCATTAACCGCATTACAAGAAAAACTCAGCTGAGTAACAACTCATTTCCATATTTAATCAGTTGAAAAGGATTAGGTTTCTAAATGTTAAACAAAGCTGCTATAGAATTTCTAGTGGTTTGAATCAGAGCATTGTAAAAAAAAGTTAAGGTCATCACTCTAGGCATAGGACTTCTAGTTTCACTGTATTTAACCAACAGCAAATAAATATATTCTACTAGCTACATTCAAACTACATCATCTTTAACCACATTTCGTTATCTGAACTAGGACAAAAAGCCCGATTAATCCCACAGGATCCTTTAAGAAGCTACAAAAACACCACAAACGACCCTAAACACGGCTATATTTCATACTCCAATTGTTGAAAACAGAAAACTATTTCCATGCTTCAAGACTCCTGTAACAGTCTACAGCATAGTACATTACACTGTAATGCAATACAATATAACATCATGCAGTCTATAACATACAGTCTAACAGCTATATTAGACTAAGCAGTGATTTAGCAAGTTTCACTTGTTTTAACACTTGTTCTTTGATTTAGCTGCCTTGCTTCATGTATGGGCATGTAACAGAGAAGTACAAAATCAATTTTCATTTGTAGAAAAAGCCTTGATTTCACTTGTTCCAAGCCCCTTATCAGAAAGGCAAAAGTAAGACTAAGACAGATAATCAGTTTTCTTACCTCCATTAGGACCTGGGTCAGGAGGATCCAGGATGACACCTCCCCAGCACTTTCCACTCCAACCTCCCTGCCTCTTAATTTTCATTTTTCTTCTCTTCTCATATGTATCCCTCTGCTGAATAAGTTCAGACTGAATTCTCTCTCGTTCTTCTTTTTTTCTCTGGCTAATTGCCTGGACTTTCCCACCTTGTATCACAGGAGTGTTAAGACCAGGCCAGAGGAATCCAGAACGTCCTTAAAAATAACAGAAAAAATAGGGTTTATGCCAGATTAAGAGTGAAATGCTGCACACTGGAAAAATGTGATAAAATGGAAGGTTCTCCCATATTTCAAGTGTGTTTTATGATACAGAATTTATATTTCGAAACGAAGGGCACATTAAACAATCAGGATTTAAAAAAAAAAAAGACAAAAATATATCAATCAGTTCTGACACCAAAGAAATTAACAGCAATTTGTCAATTTTATTAATTCAACAAACATTATACATGAAAAGGTCAAGACATGTCTTCAGCCCCTTATTTATGAATCTACCTTCGCCAATCGTCTGGCCTTTATTCAGATCCTTCCTTAGCTTTTTCTTCCTTCTCTTTCCTCTTCCTTTCCTTGTTCCCACACCAGTCTCCGCCAAAGCTCCTTTCCACAGCTCATCAGCTGTCACTGAAATAAAAAAAGCTTTCATAAGCATTGTACAAGTACAGCTTATATAGGAAACTGAAGCTGAACATAAAAAACAAACCCCAAACTTGAAATGTTAACCCTTGTTTGACCTTCACTGGGATTTAAGCTGTAGGATTACTGCCTCGCTAAGTGCTTCTCTATGTATATGCATCTGGTGCAGAGATGTGCCTCTACTCATGACTGAAATTGGGTAGGCACACAGGCAGGTGCATGGGTTTTTAAATCGATTCTGAAAATCCTTTGAAGGCAAACATTCCTAACCAGTAATCAGTAAGGTTATTAATTCCCAAGTCATTAAAAGAAAATAATTCATTAGAACTCTGCAACAACACCTGTAAGCACTTATCCAAGGACAAATACCAATGACAGCCAACTTGAATCACTCCTAAAATTATCCAAGGATTAGCCTGCTTTAAAAAGCCACAAAACACAAGAAGTTAACCAACAACATAAATCTGCTGCTGTGTTTCACCCGGGGGCAATGTTACTATGGCAGTTTAAATCTCGTCTTCTCTAATTAGAAACTGATTTTATTTGAAATAGGAAAAAAAAAATAATCAGTAAATGCTTTTAACCAGGGGAATTAAAATAACTATGCTCAAATAGCTACAGTTTCCCATCAGCATTTCATGCCCGCTAGATTAATGCACATGAGAGTTCTGAACACAGACTGGCAAACACACTGGAACTGAGGAAGCTCTGCTACGCTGACAACATGGTGAGGGCCATGAGCTATCCAAGATTTCCAGAGGTATCACTAAATGCCCAAGTTTATTTTTCTATTGAGTAAGTTTGTATTAAGATACAAAGATATGACACCCATCTTTTCAGCCAAAAATACTTTTCAAAGTGGAATACAGAACTGTATATGGTATATGCCCCATACCTGGAGACTTTAAGGCCAGGCTGATGTGGTTCTGGACAACCTGATCTAGATGAAGATGTCCTTGTTTATTACAAGGGGGTTGGATTAGAAGAGCACTGAAGGTCCCTTCCAACCCAAGCTATTCTATGGTTCTAACTGTGATTCTTTTTTGAGAAGTTCAATCCTGAATCAAATAACCAAAGCTCAGTACATTAGGAAAGCAAGTGCGCAAGGAAGGACACACAACACAAGGCCAGAAAGCTACAAACCAGCGTTCCCTCGAGATGGACAACAGCAGAATAGCCTAGAAAGTACTACATACACAAATAACATAATATATAATAAATGTATAATACAGATTTCAGCTGTATTACAGACAAGTGGAGAAAGTGTAACACAGACAAGCAGAAATGCCCACGGATAACAGCGTTTGTCACAGTTCCCATGTGCTGTGAGGCAAGAATTGTATTTGCTCCTGGGTAGGCTTTAGTCCCTTTAGAAAAGAAATTTTTATCTTTTCTAGACATTCAAGTGAGCCCTAATGTCCAGAGGTTTATGGTTAAAAAATCCCACCAACAGTAAATGTATCAAATGGCTTGAAAACAGCATCTAAACTGTCAGCCACTAAAAAAAGTTTCCAGCTGATTACAAACTGATGCATGTACCTGTGTGCTAAATAAATAATAGTAATTAAAAAAATCTTCTGCTGCACAGAACTCACCAAACAGAAAAACCTAACTGCTGACTCAACATGTTACTTTCAGTAAATGTCAAATGGTGATGGGTACTAGGCTGTCTACAGCTAGTGAGTATTACCCTAAAATGACACTGCATTAAAGCTGAGTCAAGAAAGACTGGTGGTAAGTAGGTAATGCATGATGCAGCTTTTGATGTTCTTAAGTGGACTATAGGATTCTCTCATGAGTTGGAAGTTTGACAATCAATCATGTTAAGCTTCTTAGCTTATTCAGAAAACACTGTGTAACTAGCAATTTATTTTTCTTCATGATAATCCTGCTAGCCTGGAAACTTGAAATTACAATACAGGTATTTACATTTTCTTTGCCAGGTTATTTTTAAGCTGAAACAGCTCCCCAATCTGCTGCAGTTCATGTGGCCTCATAAAGGGCTGTAACAGCTACAAAGGAGGCTGCAGACGGGCAGCAACAAACAGTTGAGACACATGAACAGGAAGCTCTTGAGCTGGTTACACACTCAAAAAAATCCCAGCACTTTGAGCTGTATTCTAAATATCTGAATGATAAGACCACTTAATCCCAATAGAGGAAAAAAGCAAAAGGAGATTGTTTTGTACCAAAGGAGATCAGTCAATGCCAAGAGATCCCACGAGATGAGGTCAGACTGAGTCAAGTTTTGGCCTCAAGCACTGCACAACTTCTGACAAAATTAAAACCAGATGAAAACATCACATTCGGTAGCAAAGTGCAGTTCATCTAATCAGTCTATAATAATACCATCATGTGCTTGGAAAGCAGCTGCATTTAATGAAACATCAGGAGCCTGCAGGCTACAGAGCTGAGCGTTCTTTGTAAGATGGCAGATACCACACTGATTTTAAGACAAAGTGACAAGAACGGAGTATGGAAAGGATAGGGTGCAGTCAAGAAGATTACAATGGTGGGGATACTGCTTACAATAGACAGACAATACAGAAACAATGAAAAAAACCTGACCATAAGAAAGATCAATCTGACTTGGCAGCAAAACTCCAAAATGATTCAAGAGCACACACATAGGCAGGAGAAATGAACTGTAGTGAATAAAAATCAAAACAGAATTGGGGATTGCTGTGCTCTTTTTTGCATTTCTAAATGTTCAGAAATGCTCTGACAGTATGCAATCTCTTAGTGATTTATGGCCTTTATTTTGCCTTTTTAAACTTTGATTTTTTGCATGCGTTCCTCCAAAACTAAAATAGACCCTGTCATAAAAGCCCCCACATTTCTACTCAGTTACCAAAAGGTCCATAGCTACTAACTGAAAAAAAGAAATACAAGAAAATGTGTCATATATAAAATTTTATTTTATAGGTTAGAAAAAGATCCACTACTTAATTTTGCTGAGAGCATTCTTCATGCAGGCTGATTGCTAACAACTGCGAATAGTAAGTCTGCATGACACCATTCCATTCTTCTTAACCCACATAAAAGATGTTTGTAATATTCTGAAAAGGATTTGAATTTATGTCTTTTTATACTGTCCCTGAATTTCAGGAACCTGACAGTCCCAGGGCACACTTCAGAGCGAGTATTAGATCATACCTCAGTAACTCACAAGTATTACTGAAAAGACTTGTTTTAAACTGTACCAGAAACCAGTATCCTAAATCATGATAAACGAAGATTAACAGCACATTTCTTTGCCTTCTGCAAGATGAGTTCCCAGCTTGCTTAGAATATGAACTACAGAGAAAGACAAGTAGCAGTAAATTGGAAAACTAATGGGAATAAAAGCAGAAGAAAGAATCAATTTTATAAGTAGGCTCACTTCTACTTACAAGCAATTTTTCCTTAAGCTTTTTAATGACAAATGGTCTTGTAGCATCAGAGCAGTGGAAATCCAAAGACATTAATATTAATCATATAATAAAAAGACTAATGAACATGTTACAATAAACATGCATCTTTCAAAGTGCTGTTGCTCACTGCTGTTGCATCTACACGTATGTATTACCATAAGGAACTCACTAAGGTCTTTTCAATCACTAACATTCTCTTTCAGATTTCAGCCTGGAATACGCACTTTTATTAGCAGGTGAATTCTAAAAATGTATGGCATTTCAACCCCTTGCCTTCTTCAGACAGTGGATTTGCCATCTCCAAACAAAAAAAAAGATTTGGAAAAAATACTTCACACACAAGAAACACGAAAGAGCATCTGCAAAGGGAATGTGCTGCTTACATAATCTGTCGCAAATTGCATGATAAATTACGCAGTCTAGATTCAGCTGCATAATGACCACAAGGAGACATTTTTTTCTCAGAAGGAGGTTAAAGGCTTAAAAAACACCTCCTCTAGGAACCAAACCGCATAAGCGTCGCTATACTCAGGTGCAGAGGGCATTTCATTGACCTTGTCTTCCCTGATGAACACATGCTTACCCATCTATAGGCAAGAGAAGACACTCTAGTCAGAACATTTACATGGGCTCAAAAGCAGCCAATTTCATAGAAGAAAAAGCCACCTAGAAGTGAAATAAATGAAAAAAAAGAAAAGAAAATCCATTTGCAAATCACTGAAGATTGTGAGGTTTTCCTAAGGAAGCATCTCTACATGCTCATCCAATTCTTAGTTTCTTCCAGTAGTGAATTGCTGCTGGAGACAGGATGCTCAGTTAAATGAATATTTGGTCTGATGAGGCGAGGTTTTTCTCACACTCTAGAAGTGCATTTTTACCTTACTCCTCTAAGACATCACTGTGAGGTATAATTTTTATATTCAGTATCTGTTGATTTTGAAGCACATTTCTGAAAGAACAGCATGGACTCCGTAAGTTCTCAGAAAACATACACGTTTCTATCACCTTACCACAACTGGGATCACTGAGGACTGAAAGGAATAGGCCAAGCATTAAACAGGTATGGAAAGCAAACGATGGGCCTGCCCCAAGAGCTGTTCTCTAGGTATAGCTGAAATTGGATGAGAACAGGGAAATCAATATATTACTTATTTGTACAACTCTGCCTTCGAGGTTCACTGTAGAACAAGACATCATTGTAAGATGTTAAAAACAAACCCATATCCATTCTTATTCTCTGCCATAGTTGTACTTTCAAAAGTCTACCATTATGGCTAACATTTTAAGGATATGCATCTCTGTTAAGAACTATGCAACTGTATAGTAGACAGTGAAAAGTCTGTTCATGTCCCAGACAGCTTAGAAACAAATTCTTCACTACTAAGAACTGCATTTCAGTATTTGTTCTGAGCAGGCAAAACCTCAAGAGAAAGGTCATTCTGACAGCGTTCATGAACAATTAATATTAAGTCATGCTTCTAAAGCAGGATGTGCTGAGAGTCCAGAAAGATAATGAAGTTAATCTTCATAAAACTTTTACTATGTAGTTATTATCTACTATTGGAATTAAAGTGA